GCATACGATACACTGATACCGAGGAGAACAGAGTAAAAAGTTTGCTCTGGGATATGCTGCCAATATTCGAAGCTGGCAAAGAAGGAAAAGCCACTGCAGATGTTCTTTTCAATGTAACAAAACAGTCGTTTGAGGAGATGAAAATACCGATGACCAATATTCATTCAGCGTCAATGGATAACTGCAACACAATGATTGGTGAGCTTGTCGATTACTTTTTCTAATTATTTTTGAGTTGTTTCACTCACGCTCACATACTCGTGCACACTCGTTCGCTCACAGATTCATTCGTCCTTTCGCTCACACATGTTCTCGTTCTCTCGCTCACAGATTCATTCGTCCTTTCGCTCACACACTCGTGCACACTCGTTCGCTCACAGACTCATTCGTCCTTTCGCTTACTCTCGCATTCGTTTTTTCGCTCACACATGTTATCGGTCTCTCGCTCACCCACGCATTCGTCTTTTCGCTCACACATGTTCTCTCGCACACGCATTCGTACTCTCGTTCTCACACATACTTTTGATTGATAGCTTTTAGATGTACTTATCTTTTCGCTTAATCTTTTTTGTTGATCGTTTTTTTTCTAATTTTTCAATTAATCGTTATAACACGACTCTCTTATATTTTCTTAGGGCACAAACACGGATTTATTAGCAAACTCCGTTCAGAGCTACCACATATTTTATGCGTTCCTTGTCCAGCACATTTAATCAGTTTATGCATTAAGTATGCAGTGGATTGTATTCCTTTTGAAATCATGCAGCTCATAAAAAATTCTTACTCGTTGTTCAAAAGCGGCAAGAGGAGCCATGATTACAAGGATGTACAAGAGGAATTATCGGTGCCTATCCACGCCATTCTTCGCTACACGCCAGTACGCTGGTCCTCATTGTTTCTCTGTGTTGATAGAATTTTAGAACAATGGGATGCGCTTTATGAATTTACTTTGCGGTTGAAGAAAGATCCGAATGAAGTTCTTGCCGGTCAAATTTTTGATACAATGTCAAAGAATGACTGTAAAAGTTATTTTTACCTTATTCATAAAGTCACTTACATTTTTAATAAATTTGTCATGTTTTTACAGCGGGATGATTGCATCATAACCGACGTTTATAATAATTTAGTGAAATGTTTTAAGGATATCACGTCGATTGTTATACGACGTGACTATATTGTAAATACCAACGAGAGCGACATAAATCTGTTTGAGGTAAAGAATTACTTATCTTTCGATATGTTTGAGATCCACGAATGCGTACGAGATAATATTTTGGAGCACGGTAAAGATATGGAAGATTTTTGCAAAGTAGCATTTAACTTTGTAATCAGGGCCTCACTGCAAATGCTTGAACGTTTTAGAGCATTTGACATGAAATTTTTGAAAGCTGTTTCATGTTTACGACCTAGAAGTATTGTAGAAATTGAACATTTCGTTAACGATAACGTGGATACTTTTGAGGACTTAATACAGATATGTCAGATTTTTATTACCGACGACGATCATGCATCTATATTATCTAACGAGTGGAGGTCTCTGAAAATTTTGTCGGAAACTGAGGGTCTAGTAGAGCCAGATTCGTTAGATAACATAGTTTTATTCTGGAATAATATTCAAAATATTAAATTTTATCCTAGCAATCAGCCAGTTTTTACGTATCTTTCGTCATTTGTTTTAAATATATTATCAGTACCCCACGCAAATGTGGATCCCGAAAGACGATTTAGTGATTTGAATTTTATAAAAACTAACAACCGCAACAGATTAGCCATTAAGACAGTATCAGGACTGTTGAAATCGCGACAAGCAATTAAACTATACAGCACTGATAATGTATTTAAGCCTAGTGAACGAATGATAGATTACGTGCACAATAAAAATATTTGGAATTAAATGTTCTTGAAACTTATTTATTTTAATGACTATAATTATGATGATAAATAAATAAAAATGATATTGTTCCTTTTATAATAAATTCTATTCAATATAAAAATTATAAAAAAATCTTTATCTTTGTTTAACACATTGTTAAATGTTACTGGTCTACAAGGATAACTGCTTTGGTTTACAGTCTAATTATTAAAATAATACACGGGCTGGGCTAAATCGCTAACCGCTTTGGTTTGCAGTTTAATTGTTTAAATAATATCCGGTTTAATTATTTAAATAATAGCGAGCCAGGTAGTGAAGGTAACGGCTTCTGGTTGCAATTCAATTATTTAAATAATATCTGAATTAATTATTCAAATATTAGCGAGCTCGGTCGCGAAGGTATCTGCTCTGGTTTGCAGTTTAATTGTTTATAAACATTGGCGAGCTGTGCTACATGGTAGACTACTTGGGTTGGCATTTGCTTGCATTCTTTAATATTTTTAAAAATTTCCATACTATTTTTTCTAATAATTTCTTATATTCGAATTTTCAATGTTTTGAATTTCGCGCCCGGGCGCCATCTTTTTTTCTGTGATGATCGGGATCGCTGGAGGGGGGAGGTGAGAGAGGAAAGGCGCCTGCGCACCAGCGTTGTTAGAACGAGCCGCAAACATGGTTGCCTCACTGTTTTATCGACTCAACTTCGTCGACTTTCTTCATGTAGCCAACTTTGAGAGTCATGAACATGTGCAGATGTATCTAACTTATAATGTATGTATGAATAGAATGTGTAAAAAAAGAGTAACAAGAAAGTAATGTTACTTAATACACGACATATGATATAATTTTCATAAGTGCAATGGTAACTGAAACACGACATGAATATAATATAATACAATAATTTTAAGCTCAGTAGTGGTACTCACTACACGACATACAATAATTGTCATGAATACAATGTTAAATACCGATACACAAGTAATACCGATCGAAAACAAAAATTACATTTTTTCGAAGTCCCCATTGTCACCAAGTTGAGCTGTCAAGAGCGAGTATAGTCGCACAGAGTAATCAAAGGTCGACTTGACGCGGGGGAGAATTGGCGCGCTCCCATCTAGAGCATCTTATAGATTTAAACGCAATTCGGAAGACATTTCTGAAGACGTATTTGGGGACGTTAAGGGATGATAAAAATATTTAACACATTATAAATCTTTTTTGTTCTTTGCATTTTTTCATGTGAGCGCTTCCAACATGGTCTAGAGCATCTTATAAATTTAAACGAATTCTGAAGACATTTCTGAATACGTTAACGGATAATGAAACTGGTTTATGATTTATTTAACCCTCCAGATACATCAATCATATGATTTAGGTGTAGCTTCAATATATTAATAATTTTTACTGGTCACTCATAGCATAGTTATTATCCGCATTAATTTTTTAATGCAAACGAAACCACAGCCAGCACCAGAACTAAAAAACTGATATCATATTCGAATCCCAGAGGGTGAAAAATATATAATTTCGTTTGTAAACTTTCTAGCCATTGCAGCTTCCTTTCTATATTTCCAAAACTACAATACTTTAACCAATGTCACGTGAACGTAGATCATAACGTAAGTCGTTAAAAGTCCTGGAATATTTTTTCGGAATATTTTTCTTTAATTTTGACACCAAAAAAATTTCTTGCGTATTTTGTGTATTAAAAGTGACATCTCGCGTTTCAAAATCGTACACCCTGTTAAAATTTACCCTATTTCTGCTTTCAATACACATGAAGAGTTGAATTTTTATTTTATTTCAAGGTATTTAAGGTAATATTTGACAATAGTATATTACTGCCCTAGGCCGCGAAAAACAGAAAAGTCCCAGAGTACGTGTAATTAGTGGCCGAGGCGAAGCCGAGGCCGATAAACACGTGTTCTGGGGCTTTCTTTTTTCGCGGCATAGGCCTGTACACTATTTTTCATACACAGTGGCCCGAAAATCGCTCTTCCCGCTTTGCGCAGCGGCAGGGAAGTAGTCACTTTCGGGCCGCTGGTATGAAAATAATATTTCAAAAACCATAAGTCCAATCATATCCATGCAATAAAGTTTACCTGTTAAAAAAGTGTAAAAAATTTCAAATGAATCAAATTGATTGAACTTTTGGTTTTTTGAAATATAATATTTTTTCAAAGGAAAATATCGATTTATAATAAATTTTTTGGATCGTACCACACGTTCGTTTTAGAGTTTTTAACTTTTTTAAAGTTTTTAACTTTGTTAAATATGTGACAAACGAAAAAATGGCAAGAAAAACTTTTTGTTTAGAAACTTCCAAGGAATCAAAAACTATTTTTTTTAAATTCATTATATTTTTTCGATAACAAATTATTTTGAATATAATTTTGTCGAAATGAAAAATATTTTCAGATTCTTTGGACTATTCTGAACCAAAAGTTTCTCTTGTCATTTTTTAGTATTTCAATTATTTAAAGAATTAAAAATACCCGAGAATTCTCACGTGCTTCGTATTCATAAGTTCCATTAGACCCAATCAATGTTTACCTTGTCGTAGACGCTTTTAATCAATATATGGTATAACTCGATAAATAATGCATTGATAAAATGGGCCCTTTGTTCGTTGCAAAAAGCTACATGTTTTACAAGTTTTTTTATCCTGTAGCTTTGTTTATTGCAAACTCACATGCAATTAAAAAAATAGCTGTATTTTGTTTTTTTTTTAGCTCTCGGATAAGGAAATGTACTCTTACAAAAGTTATCTAGTCATTTCAAAGTATATCTCCCATTTTCGTTTAAACGAATTGCTTATTAGAAAAAATAAATTATTTATCACTGGTTTGGCTAGGGTACTTTTGTTGCGCATGTGTAATGCACCGAATGTAGTGAACGATACTCAGCGCCGACTTCCTGCCTAACTTTCTCTTTCATCTTGGGAAGGCTTCAAGCTCCAATATCTAATAGCAGCTAAGCAGTTTAACTCCGCATGTGGAGTCGTTCAAATCGCGTTACGAATACACAATCTAAAAGAGGTCTCATCGACACGTGCTTTTAAATTAGCGAAAAAAAATTGAAATTTGTAATTTTTAGTGTTTTTTTGTGTTCGTGAGTGTGTATAAACATGTCCAAAAACGAATCCAGTGTAAGCTATAATGATAGAAAATATTTAGAAGTGTACGGGTACTTGTCGAAAAATGCCACGTGGGAGAATCAAGAGGATCGACGTGAATTTCTTCATCAACTCGTTGCCGTCATCAGTAATTGGAAAGGTCAACTTCCAAATCTTCTAGACTTCTTCCGGAAAGAAGTGATTTATTGGCTTTTAATGGAATCCGCCACAGACGCAGATGAAGACGCCAACGAGACACCAGGGGCACGATTCATAGATTTTGTGGCTCGCAGCGGCTACAAAGACGCGCCCGAGATGGACAAAGACGGAAAGCCACTGTTGCGTCGCACCACGCCAGTCCATCGTGCGGTTAGGCAGGGTTACGTCAAAAATCTCGCCATAATCTCTAATCTATTTAAAATTTACGACAAACTTGACGTAAATTACATAGACGAAGATGGATTCACGCATCTTCACGTGGCCTGCGAGTATGGTCTTGACACCATCGTCGAAAAATTCCTTGAACTCGGGCAAGATCCCAACGGCTTTTCTCCAAACATGGGCGCGACATATCCTTACCCACCGCTATACCTGGCTCTACGCAGAGGTCACGAGACGGTAGCCGAATTGCTGCTGAGAAGAGGCGCCGGTCTGCTTAGAGCCATTGTGGACGGATTTACTCCTGTGCACTGGCTTGGCGAGAACGATCACAACGATGCCTTCCTTGAGACATTTTTCGAGATGGGCGAGAAGAAACATCTGATGTTGCAGGTCAACGCCATAGACCGTTATGGCCTTTCACCGTTAAATCGTGCTCTGCTGAGCAGGAACAAGAAACTAATGGAATTGCTGTTGAGACACGGCGCGAATCCAAATTTGCGTGACAATAATGGAGAGGCTTCATTGCACCTCATTTGCAAGCTATGTAATTACTTTAACTTGGGTGATTTATTGGAGAAATTTTTCGCCATCAACGACGAACTCGGTAACACGGTTCAGGTCAACGCTCGGAATTCAGATGGTTACACACCATTGCACTTTCTTTTGGCTGTGCCGAGTAACAACCAAGCAAACATCGAACTCGATAACATATTCCAGGCCAACGGTATCGGTCACGGCTATCGGGTTGACACACCACCGCTCTTGGATCTGCAGAATCTAAAAAAAAATGCAGTTGAACTGTTGCTGAGAAGCGGTGCCGACCCTAATGAGGCCAACGAGAAAGGATTTACCCCTCTGCACCTCACATCTTCGGATTACTTGGCGGAGATGTTACTTGAGGTGTGCGATAAAAAACATCGGACCGTCGAGGTAGACGCTCGGAACAATGTGGGTTGGACACCGTTGCACGCGGCAATAAACAAAGGCAACATAAAATTGGTAGAAATTTTACTTAATAGAGGTTCCGCTCCAAATTTAGTTACTGACGAAGGGGAGACTTGTTTGCATATTATTTGCAGGAGTGACGATGACGACGAAAACATGGCAAAGATATTATTTCAGATCTGCGACGAAAAACATCAGATGGTTCCGGTCGACGCTCGAGACAATGAGGGTAGGACACCATTGCTCGTGGCAATACACAATGGAAACATAAAGTTGGTCGAATTTTTGCTAAAAAGAGGCGCTCGTCCCAATTTAGCTGGTAATAAGAAACTTACTCCTTTGCACGCATTATGCGAGAGAAAAAACAGCGACGATGGCTTGGCGAAGAGATTTTTCGAGATCAACGACGAATTAAATCAGCTGGTGGAGGTCGACGCCAAGAATGAGGAGGGCTCGACGCCGCTACACTTGGCTCTGTCCCGTGGATGCAAAAAACTCAACGAATTGCTGTTGAAAAGACACGCCGATCCAAACTTGGCCAACGCAGAGGGTCATACTCCTCTGCATGTTATATGTCAGAGAGAAGACGACGATGTTGACTTGGTGAAGATGTTATTCGAGATGGGTGACAAATTCAATAAGCCGATCAAGGTCGACGCCCGGGACAAATCCGACTGCACACCATTGCACTTGGCTTTGAATCGCGGCCACGAACAAATAGCTGAATGGCTGCTGAGAAGAGGAGCGGATATAAATTTAGCCAACGCGAAAGGATCGACACCGTTGCACTTGATTAGCGCGGGAAAGATGGACTGCGCTGACTTGTTGAAGACGTTTTTCGAGATCAGCGACGGGCAAAGGCGGCCGGTCGAGGTCGATGCACGCGACAACGAAGGCAAAACGCCTCTCCACCATGCTATAAGTCGCCGACACAAGAAGCTGTTTGAATTACTGCTGAGAAGAGATTTCGATCCGAATGTGGCCGATGACGAGGGATGGACAGCTCTGCACACGATTTGCATGGCCAAGGACGATAACGGCTGGGCGAAGATGTTGTTTGAAATCAGCGAGGAAAAGAATCGTCAGGTGCAGATCGATGCTCGGGACAGGTGCGACTTTACACCACTACACATGGCACTGGTTCGAGTAGAACTCAGGGCGGTGGCGGAATTGATTCTGAGAAAAGGCGCCGCTACGAATTTAGTCGAGTGGAATGGGTCGACTCCTCTGCACACGGTTTGCAAGTACGCCGTTGACGAGGACCGCGTCAGGATGTTAATCGAGATCAGCAACGAAGAAAATAAGCCGGTCGAAGTCGACGCCCGGGACAAGTTGGGCCGGACGCCGCTACACCTGGCCCTGGCCAGAGGAAACGGTAACGTGGTCAAGTATCTGCTGAAAGTAGGCGCTGACCCCAACTTGGCAGACGAGGACGGATTGTCATCGTTGCATCTCATCATTCAGAATCGTTACGACGACGATAAATTGCTCAAGCTGTTCTTCGACACCAGCAAACAGGTCGATCGGCCGGTGCAGGTCGATGTCCAAAACAATAACGGCTGGACGCCTTTACAATGGGCCATAGCTTATCTGTCATTGAAAGTGGTAGATGTACTCCTGGATCAGGGCGCCGATCTATCCAGCTTCGTTTTTCCCAGCAAGAGCTTTATCGTCGACGAAATACTCAAATCGATCAGTGAGGTAGACGAACGTAAACGGCTTGGGTACAAATTATCATTAGCTTCTCTATTTGTTGACATAGTAGAGCGTCTCGAGAAAAGAGGATACGAATTTAATCGTAGCGTCGCCCTGGATATCATGAGTTTGTTCGCCGAGTACGAATTGTTTGACAAGTCGACGGATCTTGAAGAAAATTGGTATGCCGACGAAGAATTTGTGAGCAAATCGAAAGATATAATGGTGAATCCCGATCTTTCGCTTCATGACCTTATCCGACTGGAGCCCAAACAGGCGGCAAAACAAATGAAATACGAGAACTATGTCGAGTTAGCGCTTTCGAAAAAATTGTTGGATCTTCCCGAAGGCTACAGGGATGTTTGTGTTCGGCATCTGTGCGAAAAATTGTCGAGAGGATTTTTCTGGCCTTGGGCACTGGATGCGTTCTATGAACTGCAACGCTACCAGCTACCGGTTCTCTGCTGTGAAATGATTATTGCGAAGCTAAAGAACGAGGATTTATATAATATTTGCTTGGCAGCCCTGCGATAGGCAAAATCTTGTGATGTTTCGCTATTTTTGCTATCATGACTATGTAGATAACGAAAAATTATAAACAGTCTAAAAAAATTGTAACTAATTTTAAAATTGTAGCAAATTACTCGAATTCAAAATCCTATAACAACATCGATTCATAATAATTTAATATATAGAAACAATAACAGTAATTTAACTCGTATGGATCTCCAAAATCTCTTTGTTCGACAGTGAATATTACAACTGTCCATGTAAATAGAAAAAGAATTGTAATAATACTTAAGGTATACGCCCCTATTTTCGATCAAATTTAAATCAATTTTTTATTTAGGATTGAAACTTGATATCTGATTTTGAATAATGTATTTCTGTTGATTCATTCAGCCAATTATTGAAAAAAAATTTTCTTACATACAATAAGTTGTTAAAATTAATTATTGATCGAATATAGGGACATGATTGAAAATAGGGGCATGTATCTTATAACTTTCCTCAAATTCTCATGTAATTCTGTAAATTTTTAATATCAATGTGCGCGGCTAGTAAGCGCCGACGCTTTAGAGCATGCCGCACATAATGTATCTAAGCTCGCGTATAAGAGTAATTCTGACTAACTTTTAAAATTGTACGTTCTAATGTATAAGTAGTTAATTTATAAGGCACAGTTCTGAAATTTTATCAGGGTCTTTAAGAAGACTTGAGAGACCTACACTTTTATTTTTGAGCGTTTTGGTGGCAAGTCTTTTCTGTATCGCCCGTTTGAAAATCGATTTTACTTTTGAGTCAAAAAACTTACTACATAAGAAATAAATTTTCGATAGCTTCTTAAAAAATGGATTATTAACCAAATGAACTGAAATTTTGTAATCTTCCTTCATTCACATACTTTAGAGAAATTGTTGTCCCGAACTTGTTTCTCTTAAATAGGAAAATTCCCAGAAAGTTTTCAGCGCGTACTGGATTACTTGGACTTTTGGCTTTTTTCTACATATTTCCATTTTTGATAATGGAATATTGTTTTTTTATATCATATCCATTCTAAAAAAATGCTTGAAAAAACGAACAAAATGAGCGTAACCAGAACCCTGTTCCTTATGTAATAAGAATTCTACGCTCGATTGAACATTGGGATGCGCCTACGTTAATCACTTGAAAATTTTTGAATAATTTTTTTTTCATTCAAAACTTTTTTTTATTATGAATAAATAAATCAAACAACAAATAATTTTTTTTATATATTTTCTTTTAAAAAAAATTGTTTTATGCAATAGTATGACGAAAAATGTCTTTTTTCGCACATTTTTTAGTGCGCAAAAAGCGTTTTTGGACACTTGTGTGCGGTAAAATGCAGCATTTTGGGCACGGGTGTGCGGTAAAACTCCTCATTTAAATGAACGTATTTTTCGCCTACTATTGCATAAAATTTTGTTTGCAACACGTGCCCAGCTTTTTGCGCACAGTGTGCGTAATTATAACCCACTTTTTATTATAATTTTTCGGCTCAACCACTAATTACATATGCTCTGGGACTTTTCTATATTTACTAATAGGGTTCTTTTGCTTCAAAAGGTGCATAAGGCAACTCAAAAAATCCAAAGAAATTTAAGGGCATTTTTTTCAATGCAATTAAACAGAGAAAGAATTTTTGAGTTCGATATCGGCTCGTATCGCCGTACATAAATTTTCCAAATTTTTAATTATTTTATCTGAAGGCCTGAAGCACTCGAAAAATCTGAGGTGGTTTATTTTTTTAAAATGTTCTTTTGTGAATTTTTTCAGATTTTTTAATTTCTTCAGAGCTTCAGAATAAATATAAATTGAAAATAGACGTTTATAGAGGAGGAGAGGATCCAGACTATAGTCATCCTTTGACAACTCATCCTGCGACAGCTCATCCACGAAAACTTATCCGCGACAATTCATCCTGGGCGACTATTCATCCTCACTAAAAATTTTATTTTATTTAATTTTTCACTCGTTTCCTTAGCTCACTCCCGAGCAGATTATTTACCTATCTGTACTTACTCTTATTACTGTACGCTCATTCACGTTGTGTGATTCTGTGCAGTAACATTGTTAAATATGGTGTTGAAATTTGTTTTAACCCGTTTCCGAGCCAAACGGACGAAATTTCCCACAGTTTTCCGGTGCTATAAACTTTGTGAAAAAAATATCTAAAAAATGTTTAAATAATCATTTCTAACGTGAAATTGTATGAACTTTTCTAATTCGGTGTCTGAATTGTCAAAAAAAGTTGAGGAGCAAAAGTTATGAACAATTAAAGAACAAAAAACACGATTTTTTAGAAAAAAATTTTGATTCGACCCAAATTTTCGAATCAAAAGATACTTGATCCGTGGGTCTAACACATATTTTTGCGTCTATGGGGTGTAGACATAAAAGTTTAAAAGTTCGAATATCGAAATTCAACATGGTGGACAACAAAATAGCGCATCGTAAAAAAAACATGTATAAACTTGGTCAATTTTTTTATGCTAACCAAGCATCTAGGGAAAAAACTTTACTTAGAAAAAGTTCTCAGAATTGGATTTTTGAAAATGGTCAGAAATCAAAAATACCAAAAATGATCCACAAAAATTAAAAAAAATTCAGACATGTTCTTTGAAATATTCTAAGACTTTTATAACGTACAACCCTTTTTCGTTAACTTAATACATAATTTTCAGATATTTTTTTCACAAAGTTACAGGAAAAAATGTGGGAAATTTCGTCCGTTTGGCCAGAAACAGGTTAATTGAAGACTTGACAAATTCGTTAGACCACAATGAAATAAGTGAGAAGAGAAATAAAATGAAAAGATTATTGGTAAAATTAAAAACTACTCCAAAAATTAACTAATTCAAATTGATAACATTATCTCATGAAGGTATTTTAAAATTAAAATTTTTAAATTAATTGAAGTTGAAATATTCAGTGGGAATCCCAGAATATAACTGTATCAAACAATTAAATACGTGTGTTTTATTGCAAACGATTAATTTTTAAGGCTTTAGTTCATTTTTAAATGTTTTACGAACTATTAATTAATTATTTTTAATGAAAAATCTTAATAAATTATGTTCAAGGAGATACAGAAACCAGACTAAAATAGCTAATTTCAAAACATCAATACTTTTTTCAAGATTGTCTATGTATAATACATTGTATATTTTTTCATAAAGTTATGATGTTTTCTTTTTATTATGTTTTCAACATTTACATGGCTTTTAAAAAATAAGTTGCGTAGAAATCTCAGAAAACGTTTGCAATATTTTGATCTGTCCTAGCGTCGGAACTCTCAGCCATAGTACAATCAATGAAAATCTATTCCTATGTTAAAAAAAAAAAAAAAAATCGCAACCAGAATTTCACAGCGGATTCTTATTCTAGGTACCCTAAACAACTAATTTTCATAAAATGCTACTGTTTTTTGTTCCTACGTTTTTGTTTATAAGCCTTTAAAAATGCAAAAAACGGATTATAATTTTTAACTCTTAAAGTAGAAGTTTTACGATAAAATGTTTCAAACAAAAGTTGTAGGTATTTTGAAGACCTTTATTCTGTTATTTTTTTTTATTTTTTTGTCCATTTATTTATTCTCCAGGTCAAAAAGAAAACCCTTAAAGTGGCCGTTTTTACAATTGTTTATAATTATTTATTAAAACAGGCTATGGCAATGAAATCTTGTAAAAATGTAGCCCTCGTTACACAGAATCCAATGCATTTTTCAAAATCTCACTAAGTGCATTATTTATCGAGATATTGCATTTGTCTATTAAAAAAGACCAGATAGGTCGCAAATGAAAGATAGAGACCTCCCAGTTAATTTGCAATTATAAAAACGATAATTTGTTCATGAAGACTTGCAAAATAAATACCAAATATAAACGGGTACGAAAATTCTTTACGTGGTCGCAAACATAGAGAATATATATGGCTCAGTTCATAGTTCAACGTTTTTAATATTAATAGGAGGTCTGTACCCTACATTTTTTACCGACATAGTCGAAAAATTTGTTTAAGGAGGTCTGTACCCCAAAGAAAAACGGCTCTATGGGAACATTCATTTTGTTGCTCTAAATAGCTGGTAAAAATTTTAGCTAATTCCACCGACCAGATTTCCCGGAAAACGTGTTTGAAAATTTCAGGCTGGGGAAACGTGTGAAAATTTCAAACACGTTTTCCGGGAAATCTGGTCGGTGGAATTGGCTAAAATTTTTACCAGCTATTCAGAGCAACAAAATAAATGTCCCCACAGAGCTGTTTTTCGATATTAGATTTAGAAAAAAAGACCTTGATGTCAAACTTCCATTCGCTGGACGCAAATTGATCTTCTATGTAAACTTGGTAACTAAACACTTATTCAGTGATAGGATTCCATTCTAGCTTGTGTATAAAAATATCGTTGTAAGTATATAATCTTGTTCAAGCTCGAGGGATGATTTTGACGCATAGGATAATCATGCATGAAATAATTGATGTTTTTTTTAACTTAATAGTATATTACTGCCCTAGGCCGCGAAAAACAGAAAAGTCCCAGAGTACGTGTAATTAGTGACCGAGGCGAAGCCGAGGCCGATAAACACGTGCTCTGGGGCTTTCTCTTTTCGCGGCATAGGCCTGTATACTATTTTTCATACACAGTGGCCCGAAAATCGCTCTTCCCGCTTTGCGCAGCGGCCGGGAAGTAGTCACTTTCGGGCCGCTGGTATGAAAACGTATTTAGTAATTTACGAATATTTTGATGTAAATAATGGTTTGCATTGTAATTCGTAATTCCTGAGACGAAATATTTCATCTTTTAATTTCAGTTTTCTACTATTTATTTCATTTGTTTTTCATTTTTCTGTAACCACAAGAACTATCGAAAGAAGCGTAGAACTATGATAGATTATATTTTACTTTTTATTTGTGATAGATTATAAGTGAATGATTTGATGGATCTGCAATATTACATTTAATTATTAATTATTACATTTTATTTGATTTATTCAAATCCAATCAATCCCAAGAAG